TGTTTTCACTTCCTTTGTCCATTTCGTTCTTTTTCTATAAAAATCTGGTTCTGATTATTTGTATTCTAATGTATAATCTTGTGATACAAATAATTATTCTTAAGAAATAAAGGTCATCAGCCGTTGTAACTCATAATCGAAAATAATTCTCCGCGCAATAAGTGAAGTTGATTTCCTTTCGTTCTACTGAAACTTTGCAGGTGACTTCTACTCCAGAATTTTACTTGGGGTGATTGTCTATATGTGTATAAAGATATTATTGGACCAAGTCTTTGTTAGTGTAAACAAAGTCCGTGGTCTTATTTCAATCATTTGTCTGAAACGTATTCTTATGGTGTACCATTACAAACCTCTTATAAAGATTTAAACATTCCATTTCTTGATAGTAACAGTTGTAGACTGTCTGTAGGTAAATATTTTATGTTTATTGCAGAAAAGAGTTTTCTTGATGCTCTCCAGTTGCTTGTTGTCTACTATATGTAATTGATGGCAGACTATGTTGAATTGAACCAGAATCTTCGTAAATATCAATGTGTAGGAAGTAACACAACGATTCATGTTCTGATCTTGATTAGCGTTTAAACTTTTTCCTGGAAGGAAACAATATGAAATGAAATCCTGTCACTCAAACCATTATTTAACATAGGAAGAAACACATTTTTATACGAAAGTGCTTTATTCTTTGTGGCGATGATCATATTATATATTAGAAATATCGAAATGTATCAAAATGTATACATTGTATTTCTCAATAACGCCACACCATACACAATCATTTTGAATGATTGATAGCTTTTACACATTGTCATGGTTCTAGTGTTATTGAGACAAATATTGACATCAAACCATATGTTATACGACTATTATTAAGTATATTGGGTAAACGATATTTAACACTGTATGTCATATTATCCATATTGCATTATGTTAACTAGTCTCATTGCATTTAAAGCAGTTATAAATGACATATACTTTTAGGGAACATATCAAATTGCGCGATACTACTTATTCACACCACAGTTTGTTATTGAATTGATACAATACCATGTATGGTTCTTTAGTTTTCACATGTCATGATCTGTATCGTAAGATTAGTACACCATAAAACTTACAACACTTCTGAATTTAAGATGTTCATTTTATTAAAGCATTGAATATTATCGCTCCACGGACGCCCTTGATCTTGTTGACGATTTTCTATCAGGCAGTGAAAAGTTTCATAGTTTGTAATAAACATTTGCAAGGTCTCAAGATATAAAAAAAAACAAATTTGTTCTACTACAAATCTATCTAATAATTATTATATATATTATCTTTATCAATTGATATTCTACGAATATTTGAGCTTGGATTACTTTTATTGAAGTTTAATATCAAACATGTGTAAAGGTTCTCCTCCCTTTCAGTATCTGTAAAGGATATATTTGTACGTCCAGATCAATGTTAATCTGGTCAAATTCAGACAAATGAAACAGCATAAATCTGGTAGTTTTATTGAGCCAAACTTGAATTGAAATTGAAACACTAGACGATGAAAGACAACAAAATGTCGTGGATCCACACCATTACCTGTTGTTACCTTTCAATACAAATCTAGATATTGATAATATGTTCGCCGAATAATTAAAACGTAAGATAAGAACACAACATCAAGACAAATCCCGTTCCTATGGAGGTTGACAACCATATTTGTTATTAGATGCCTGCTGTGTCTAATGTGTGGTTTTCTCGCCTCTGCTCTAATAAACACATTCACAAAATACTTGTAGGTATGCTAATTAAGGCTTTTAATATACTTAACAATACCACACATATACAGAATGTATACGCATTTGCTTTAGATCCTAACTTTTTCCAATCAGCGCCGATTCTAACTTCATGCCAGCGTGTTCTACATCAGCCACTACAAACATGGAGAGCTTTCCACCACGCTGTATGTATTGGTAACGATTTCAATTTTCCAATTGGGAATTTTCCATTTCTGGATAGCAATATTCCTGCATCCCCATCCTATGTGTGGTTATATGTTTATTCGATATTTGAGGCGGGTGTCGTCGTAAAAATATTTCTTTTGCTCACATATATCCTGGTGATATTAGATTTGAGTTGGATTATGATTGTGTAGATATTTTTGTTGGTAGTGTTTACTTGCTTCTTAGTTTTGTGTGGGTGGGTGGGGGTGTTTTCAATGATCCAATAAAATCATGACAACAAAAGAAAACGATAAGATTAATGAATATGCTTTGTAATATGAATATGTACAACACTCTTTTGAGCCACGATCTATTCTATATTTTGTAAACAGCGATTCACTATTCAGAACACATATCTCGAAGTTTGTTTAAAGGTGTTAAATTTCTGGAATGACCAAACGTGTTTAAATTAGGCGGTAAACGTCTCGCTACTTAAATATTTTCTAGTTAGGCCCATTTGTATTTCCGTACGCTCACATTTTTGGTCCATACATCACCAAAGTGTATCAAAAAGCTATAAACTCTGTTTAGCACTGTGCATATGTATTTTAATATTATATATGCTGTCTAGTATTTTAAGTGCGTAACTATGGTCAATTTTCAGGTTATTATATGGCTCATGTATTTTCGCATAAACATGGTAATAATGTTGATAATCATTGCAAATTGAAATATAGACTCTACTGTATCTTAATCTATGCTCCTCTGTATGAAATTCCGGGCTCTCTGTTGTATCTAACTCTTGTATCTACGGTAACTCTAGGATCTACTGTATGTAAATATAATCTCCTCTGTCTCTAACTCTAGTCTAAACTGTATCTAACTATAGTCTCTACTGTTTCTATGTATCTTACTCTAGGTTCCGCTGTATCTAGTTCTAAACTCTACTGTGTCTAAATCTGGACTTAACTGTATCCAACTCTAGGCTCTGCTGTATCTAACTAGAGTCTCTACTGTATCTCTAATTACTACTGTATCTAACTCCAGATTCTGCTGTAACTTTAGTCCCTACTGTATCTAACTTCAGGCTCTGCTGTAACTCTTGTCTCTACTGTATATTACTCTAGGTTCTACTGTATTTTACTCTAGATTCAACCGTTTTCTTTTACATATTTTTCTTGCGTTGCTGGTTCTGGTTAAATCTTTAACAGTTCAACATGACAAGATTACGATGGACGAGCGCTCAAAATTGAAGATTGAGTCGTGTTGGACTAATATGTAAAGCAGAATTATTGCAATCATGCAATCTAATTAATATTCGATATGTTTTTCCACTTCCCTAAGATAATCTGTAACACAAGTATGTTACAAATTAGAATTGTATTTGCAAATATGTACAATGCACTAGAATGTAAGTATTGCATTGTCACTCCGCTCCTCTACAGTATCGACACAAGTCAATAGAACCTTTCAATTAATTATTTATAGTTAGATAGAATAAAGACATAAATGAATTAAACAGCATCATACAGCTGAGGAATATCCAAAGTGATCGAAATAACATTACGCAATCATGCAGCTTATCTTTGTTATAGCGTCAATTCTATTATTAAAAGATAACATAAACAAATACTGCAAATTAATAGGGGAGACCAAGCATATGAAACTGATTAACTACGATAACTTAATGATAAAATATTTAGGAATTCAGATAATTAGTCTTATGAGAAATAGACATTACGAGTCAGAAATATCAAGTATTTTATCACCTAATCTGCCAGTTATCTAGTTTATTCGCCCGTGCAATATGTTTGCATATGTTGCTGGTGTAATTACTTGGTGTTTTTTTTCAATGACTATGCCATTCAGAAACATTATATCCAGAATGGAAATAGGGTTATAAAATAGCTGTTTCCGTTTGATTTTTTTCCTCCACATTTTGACTTTTAATCCCATCAAAATATCTTTTTATTTTAGTTATGCAATGAAATTTATATTAAATCAATTTACATCTTTTACGATCTTTTATGATTTAAGATGATCAAAAATCCTACCTGTAGTGTATGTATATAATGCATTGTATGTTGAACTTGAAGATTAATTAGGAACTGCATTATAACTTGGTCCTTGATTGATCTCGTTCAATATTTGCATTCATAATAAAAGCACAATAAAATTCTGCCCAGGTATTTCACCAAGAATTGTATAGACGGTAAAATATTGCGATGCCCTGTCACTTACAGAAGGTGAAATTGACGGATTAGATTGACAATAAAAAGTAAAATCGATATAGTCTGTGATTGTAATACGATTTAAGCGGAAATAGAATAAAAAATCTTATAACACAACTTGTAGAAGATTTGAGTTTGACATTTCGATGACAGCACGTTCACTTTCTTCAGACCAATGACAAATGTGAAGTTACTGGCTCTGACGTCAATGTACATAGTATACGGCATTGTAAGGAATCGACCAACTTTTTCGGCTGTGCTATTATTCTACATACACTAAGGTCGAAAATATTGTGACGAAATGGTAAAATAGAAAAATTTACAAGATGGTACAATAAACTATAGTCGATTCGGCGCTACGCTCTGTTTAACACTTGGTCATAGATGTGCTTGGAGTCTGTGGCCTGCTCCTGTTCTGGTCCGCTGCTGTGTATCTAGATCACGACCTTTACCAGCCGCTTGTATGGTAGTTTGGAATTTCCCCAGTCAAATGATCTACTGGTTGTGTCGTGCTGTGTTATGAACTTTTATTCTATTGACATAATCAACCTGATGAACATGGTCCATACATAATAAGAGGCAGTATAATCTTAAATGCATCATTTATATATATTGTAAAATACAATCGACGAAAAACAAGTAGGTATAGCACATAAATATTCTTGTATTATATGGAGTTAACACTGCTACCATATAGCTCATAGGCTTAAAGGCCAGATCCAGTCCAAAGTAAATCTACACAACATGACCGACATGACACAGACTCGTTGCCAGTGTCATGTCATACTGTTATTATTCTGTTCTTTACTACTTCTTTATAGGAAAATATAATTTGCAATGTCTTGGTGATTTCAAATTATGTATTCACGAAGAAGAAAAACCCAGTTGTAAACGCCAAGTTACAAGCAAGCATTACCCAGCCACAAACAATGTCTAGCTTTATTGCGACTTTGCGGCAAATTTCCTCACCATACCCTTTCGACTTACATGTAGGTAAATCAACATTGTCTTCCTCTGTACTTTTAATGTTGTTAGCTAATGGAATTCCAAGACATGGGGCGACAGTGAAAGCAAATCTCCTTAATGTCGAATCATCCCAGCAAGAGTTGTTATATACTCTTAATATAAAAACCTCGGACGAGATTGTCAAGATTCCCAGTATTGTCTGAAACACCAAGTAAACACAATAGGCAGGCATGTGGACCGAAGACTGTGGAAGTGAGTTGCCTACTAACGATAGAAAAACAGCAAATGTCAGGAAGATAGCCATACACATACCGATCTTTTCTCCACTTTCTAGAGGCAAAACAAAACACAATTGGTTCAAAAACGACATTAACAGTACCGGGAGAACAATATTCATCATAAAAAATGCTGATCTGCGTTTAATTTTAACCCTGAACAAGTTAATGCTGAATTCCAAAAGCGCCTCGAGGCGTGTGTCAAGCTCAACAGAAGTATCTAAAAGCTCCCATTCTTCGCTTTCCTCATAGTACATGATGTTAATTTTTGAAGATGTCGTAGTGATGTTGACTTTTGAATCATCTGAATACCATTTGCCTACGCAGAGGGTACACACTTGTTCATCAAATGGATATTTAGTGGTATCAATTTTACACTTTGTGTTTATCTCTTTGCCAGGCCACCAAATTACCTCGCCCGTATAACGCACTGTTGGATCTACAAAATTGGTATGTTTCATTCCCTTTTTGTTCCCAATCTCATTGCGAAGTAGTATATCTGGGGTCCATATACTTGTAAAGGGTACACGACTGGTTTCTAAACCGCTGTATTTACTAGTGTTCCACGCTAATTGTTCATCAAACCAGCGGAGATCCAACCATATTGAGGATGACATGGTACCCTTTCGTTCATTTAGTTCAATGATTGAAAGGAGAAATAGTCGCAGACGTACGTTAACTGGCTTTGTGATATCGGAAACGGGTCGAACGTACTTGTTGATACCGAGTATATCATCATGTAGTCGAGCTTCTGGAAGTTTTGTCTTCGAAAGTCGACCTTGAGATAAACAAACACACATCCATATAACCAAGGTAATGGAGTTCATGGTTTATAATCTTTTACTTTCCAGTAGTTTACTTTTTTTAAAAAGATATGGAGTTTCCAATCTTCGAAGTTTTTCTTCTGAGTTGATATTAAATGATTACCAACGGTAACACACTACTCACTGTCCGTACGCTGAAGCTGATCTCTGTGTTTGAGATGTTAGGATGATGTAGTAACGTAAATAACAAATCCTAAAAATCACTGTTGACAAGGAATGAAAGCAGCATCCTCCGAACACAGAAAATAGATCACTTCAATGTATTAAGAGAGAGACTTCTGTCGAAGACTGGTTTGTTTTCGTTACCAGTGGTTTGGTGAGCGTTTGTTGTCGGTCGTAGTAATGATACACACACGTGGCAGGCAGTATTAGATCAATCTACAGAGAATAACACATACAGCTGCTGGCTTAGGGTTTTTAATGAATTACTGAATATTCTATATTTGTTTTGAATGACTGTAAACCAAAACATATATAAAATAAGCTACGTTGAGAGTATATTGCTGTCGAAGTTTTTACATTTTCTATTTACAGATTCTATTTACATTGGTGATTTTTGTACTATTTCAGGGAATACGTGCTGTAGACACTGCTGGTAGACCTTCAGTCCCTCAGATTTTATGTAACCTGCATACCGAGTTTTAGCTCATTTAAATTGTGGCTCGGTTTGTATACGTTGATGTTTTTGTCATATTATAATTACATTTAAGCGGCAATGTTATTGTTCTACACTAACAAAAAACCTCAGATTAAAACGTTTGACCAAAGTTGTTTAGAAATTAAACCATGTTAGAAAATTGTACTGAAAAAGACACACAGGTGAAAAATTTACTGTCAAGTTTTTATGAGAATAAGGAATAGTGATGTTGAATGCTAAAACCTGTCCATCAAAGGAAAACATCTATGAGTTGTAGACTGAGGACCTGTAAATCAGGAAGGTAGGGAATGACATAAAGCTATATAACGTTGTATCAGGTGAGTTAAGTGTAACATCTAGGTATATCGCAGTTATCAAATGTGAAAAACATTTAATTTCATTTCACTTTTATCTGACAAGATGAGCAATACAATTTTTCACTTATTTTAAACGTTATATTCGCAGTAAGAGTTACTTCCCTTCTCAGCAAGCAGGCAAGAGAGGGAGACCAAAATTGATGGAAGGACATTTAGGTATCTTAAGAGAGAAGTGCACCTGTCCCATTATTCAGTAAAATTCGTTGTTTAACGTACAGATGTTTAGAACAAATATAAGGATATAAAGATGATGACTCATTACTTGTTTATTAATGATAGAAATGTCACAAAATTCACATTTTTCAATCCTGATCACGATAATAACACATAAAATCAAGAATGACCAGTATGGCCAGAAGCTTTACCTAATTGTACAAGATTATGCTATGAGTGGGTAAGAATGATGGCCTCCATATGTAACAAATGTAGGTATGTACGGCACAGAAATTAAATTGTTCCAAGTTGATTCCCAGTTCCTAATACCAAAATGAGTTTGAATGCAAGTTCCGTATAAGACAGTCTTAATTTCTGTGATAAAGGCTGTGGGTTCGATTCCTGTCCCGAATCAAAGTAAGCTAATGCGCACTGGACTAGTCGATTTTTTTTAACATATACGTTTTTCTTCAACGGAATTCGGATCTGGTTCCATGTTTTGTTTAAGATAGCTCTCTTAACACAATATAAACGTGACTGATACTGGTCTGAATGCTACACTGTACAAGTTCGGTTGTTCTATAAGTTTATTTTCCGTAACATTGCTTGGTACATCTGTAAATCCTTAATATATGCTACTGTTATTGTTTCTTTAAAAGACTCTACTAATTCAAAAGAAAATTAACTTTTTCACTCTGTTCATTCCTCGATAGACTTATTCTAACAAGGATAAAATGAACAAGTTGGAGTAAGATAATTATCATAATTAAATTTCATAAATACTTTCAATAAAAGGAAAACAAGAGTAATTGTTATCATAGGTGCATCGATTGTGGCAAATAAATGACGGATTTCAAACTGTTAACGAGGTAGTTGCCAGGAGCATGCCCAGTTGTAGAATGTTGAGTCGTTAATGCAGGCCGCTTGACAGTTTTCCATAAAACCAAATGTGAAAAATATAGTCGTTGCTACGGGCCGTTATATTATTGTAATATAAAAAAATCGATAAACGTGATTAAGTTATAAAATATATTTACGTTTCCTACACTTCGCGCACTAGTTTTCCTTTACTTTCACTGTAGATCTGGAATTAAATATAGTTGACATCAACTTTTTGTTATTTTTTACTCTAATTTATTGTTAGATGAAATGTGAGAACCGCTAAGAAAGTTTATGAGATTAAAATTTATTTTTAAGGGGTGGGGAGGGGGGGAGTGGATGAGGTTTTTGATTTCTTTCTTTTTTCCCTCAATTTTCTTTTTGCTTGTGTGCGAAATCACTTGTTTATTTCAAAAGGCTTGAGCACGTCATTTTGATGAACTCGTTTTTATTCACCTACTTTTTACAATAAATATCTTTTGTTGTTACTAAGTTACTAATAAATTTATTTTTTCATGAATAGTGGCACCAGTTCAAAACAAACCACGTTCTTGACTTTGTCGAAAACATCCTATATCCAAAATTAACCAAATCTTATATAGTGTGACACAAGTTTACATTAGCTTTTATGTTCGTTCTCCCCTTTCTTTTAACACTTTAAGGCCAATAGCATATAGCAATACTACTTAACTTTTATTAATCATATATATATATATAAACCAACAACAACGACAACAAACAAACAAACTAAAACAAAACAAAAAGCACAAAACAAAAAAGCGACAATGCTGAAAATCCACAACACCAAAACAAACAAGATTTTATCGAGTACATTACTTGGAATATCACAGTATTTTCTCTGAGTCACGTAAACAAGTTGATAATGTTCTGTTGATTAATGAATGTTAAGTAGTATTGCTATATGCTATATATATATAAATATATATTATTTTTATCATAATTGCACTTTTGATATCATTATGTGTACACATATTAAAATGCAAAGCATATTCCTGAAGGGATTAACCGTATTCAATTTGTATAGGAGTTTTTATGTGAGATCCACCCAAAGGCAAGGACTACTTTCATCATTTGTACCAGGAAATTGTTTTTCCCACTGGCGATCACGATTCTGACATGTAGGCCGTCTGTGAACTACATGAACTCACTCTTCAATGGTCAGCAGCTAACTGGGATCCCTGTGTACTGTTTAGATTAACACTTTATTATCATGATATTATTTCAAACGTAACATAACATTTTCCCTTATATTCTAAATTATATTGTACTTAATTCTTCAATTAACCAGACATATTTACCTTGATTACGCTGTTATTGTTTACACACCTTTACTAATATATGTCTATGTTATAAAATCTCACAACATACAGTTACGTACCCTGTCCAATATGCATAGACACAGATCTTCAAAATATTATATACTGAATAAGAGTTAACATTGACCATAACTGAACTTACGTGTTTTTTTTTCCTTTTGTCGATTTATTGGATCCCTTTGAATAAAATCATGTATGCGCCGAGTGTGCAGTGGTTATCCTAAATGGAGCTACGGTTGTACTTTAGTACTAACTTTGTTCAACTCATCTTCGTCCTGGTTGATGCATCTTAGAAATATGTTCTTTATCAAATATTGATATAAAAAACTAGCTAGAAAATTTCATTGTCACCATCCCATGATGAAAAGATACTGAAACTGTGATCTTAAGCAAAATGTACCACATCGAAAACATGTGTCCGACAATAGTTTGATACTATGATAGCTTATATTGACCGTTGTATAACTGTTACTGTTGGCATAATGTCCTTTACTTTGTTTTATTACAACATTTAACGTAACTAAGTGCAAAGTGAAAATAGTGTACTTCTTAATATTTAACAGGACAAAATACCGTAATTTCGCAGTTATGAAAATTTCTTGTAAAAAGAATTAATTTTACATACAATATATGTTTGGTAATGATTTTTTTTTTTCTTTTTTTCGTAAAGTATATCAAGATTCTTCTTTATCTAATACTAAACTTATATTAAAGGTGTTGTTCCCTAGCTTGTTTTTGTAGAATCCATCGATATATTTTAATGTCATATGTAAGATAGGAGACTCAATCAAATATATTGTCTCAAAACAAAGAATAATGCATGCTTGATATCAATCAACAACAGTTTCGCCCAGTGGATCGACAAAGTTTTAAAAACCTTCGCCTTCACTAATATGTCAGATTTATTATACAACAATGATCGTTATTTAAAGACTGAGACGCTTGTGATACTAGGAAATTAACACTTTGAAATCCATTTCTATTTGACAGAGATATGTTTATATCCTTACGATATTATATACAAAGCGATAAAAATTATTTCAAGGGCAGAATACTATGTTTAACTTTCCTGAATACCAAGGGACACTTTCCTAATTTACAAGTGCTGTAGGAAATACACCATTAAGAGTCTTATTTGTCGATATTTTGTTGTCAACTGCAGGTTTTCGTTCTCTACCGAAGTTCCGCCTTTTTTTATTTGGTTTCATCTTTATATTTTGAGGTTTCTGTGACTCCCGTGTCTTTTGTGCCAACGTTGTTACTAATTCTTGCTTTCGTTTTACCCAATGTTTTCCTAGAGTACAGGACTAATTTGCTGTGATGTCATGTTGATTCCAGTATTTGTTTCTGGTTCCACATGACTTTTTCATGTCAATGGATGTCCATAATCATTGTCTTGGTTGTGTTATGGTCCACTTGTATTCCATATCATTGTTATGATAATACACAGCCTATTCATATACAAATGTTTTACCTTAAACTGTAGGTAATAAGTGATACCATTAGATCAATACTTGATTTGTGTTTGTTACCATGAAATCGTTGACAAATATTTTGTAATTAACATATTACAGTGGGTATTTTTTCATGTTATATATATATATATATATATCTGAAAAATAAAACACTATTAAAGCAATTATTATTTTTATCGATTGAATATTTGTGTTTACACAGAAACCGAAGTTAACTGTACAGTCACAGGAAAAAGATTTTTATTTAAACCATTAAAGCTCTTTATTATTAAAAAATGGAATACCATTGTCCTGAATAATTACGTTTAAATTTCAATCATGGGCTGAATATTGTTCATCATTTTCACTCGTGCACTTGCGAAAAATTGCTAAACATCATCTTAACTGACATATTTATTAATAGATAATTGATTATCATAACTAAACGACATCATTTTAATAATCATTCTATATCCGAAACATTTCACATAAAGTTTGATTTATTTCAGATTAAGTGTATAAAGAGCATAATGAACAAAAAATTTCCATATAATTTTCATATAACAAAGTTTACTTTTCGATCAAATTCCATATAGAATAACGAATTAGTATTTTATTGACAAATTTTATAAATGATTCGATGGTTTTGATGACATTTTGCATACGAAATTAATTATAGTTAACTCTATACTAAAAATATCTTTCATGCCTCCCGCGCCGATGGTTGTTTGGTATATGATGTGACTTATAACTTCGAGATCAGGAAAACAAACAAGACAACACATCGTATACGTGTATAAAAGACAAATAACGCAAAATATATGTAATAATTAAAATAGTTTATTTCAAAAATACATAACATCATAATAATATATAACGGGGCATTTTGGTGACGTGTATGACGGCTTGGTCCTCTTGCGCTTAAAGCTGAAAAAGCAAAAATACATTTACACAGCTTGTATTCATTTACGTATATCGAATAGACTTTATATTTATAAAGTGGCTCTTATTCAAATGGTAACGGCTAATAAAATCCATAACCAAGTTTTTACATCATGATAAATTTATCATAATTGGATGTTGCATGTTCATGTTTCATTCTTTTCTAAATTGACTTGGAATATAAACTAAGAAACACGCATCAAAAAATATCGACAATTTACGATTGGCACACTACGGAGATGAAAATGTGACGAAATGTATAAATTGTATCTGTGAATATTGTCGGATAGTTACTTTTGGTTGATGGTTTTTATAAAGAGGTAATATAGCATGGAAACTTATTTGAATTTTTTTACAATTAATGTATTTATTATTATCTAACTACTTCAATTTTTGGCAAATTTTCGGATCAACAAAACCTAGCGAAACACAATCAACATCTAATACACGGTGGGAAGAGGCAGTGAATGGACGTTCTATCTGCGTTTCCACTTCACATATTTATGTAAAAAAAAAATGTATATGCTGTGTGCATGCTATTTTGAATTATATTTGGTTGTGAACGATCATACTTACATATATACAAAGGTATTGTAGCTGTTATCCGTATCTAACCAGTCCTGTTCCTGGCACCACTAGCAATCAACCAGAACAGGAATCCGATAGCAACTGCAAGAAGAAACGACATGTTATATAAGTAACAGAATCCAATGAAATTTTACATTTCAAGTTTATTTGGTCTTGTGCTTCATCAGTTAAAAGCAACGCTTATTTATTTGATATGCGGTTTTCATTATCAGGCGCGGTGTTACTTTCAATTATTTCTAACATACTCTTGCTAACAATTAAACATTTGGATAAATACAGATTAATTGAAACCATCTAACCTATAACGTGCCTTAGTTTTGATACAAATACTTACTGACAGTAAAGAGCGAGGAGTCGTTAGCACCATAGAGTCCACTTTGGTCTAAGCCGAGCGGTGGGGCGATTGGCGGAACACGTAGACCATAAGGTACACTCAATGCATTACCGCCAAAATAGCCACCACCTTTTCCTCCCTTTCCTTCGTAACCGCTGTATCCCTGTCCCGAGTATCCTATATATCCTTTTCCACCATATCCGTATCCTTGCCCACCGTATCCTGGATACATATATCCTCCGTACCCTTGTCCACTATACATGTCATAATCATTGTACCCGCCGTACCCGTACCCGCTGTACCCACCATCACAATTGACCGCCGTGAACAATCCCATGAGGATCGCCCCGGAGGCGATTGCTATGAGTAGCAAACGCATCTCGTGACCTGCCATTATAAGGTTTGTTAATAAAGAATTTATCAATTCAGACGATAAAATCATAATAAGGATAGTCACCATTTTACATACGTCGTAAAAGTTTTACATATACTATAGTAATTATTAACATCACCATGTATCGCCTTCCCTACATCATGACCATGATTCGATGTTACATTATTCTGAAACTTCCCACTATACATATTTTCAAAAGCATAAACGGATATCATGATTGTTATATATTACTAACCCCACCTAATGATACATTATTAACATGTTTCCATCAATGATAAAACCAAGATTTTACAGAACACCCGCTGTATAACCCAACACCGAAGGTTACACATGGAACTTACGTTGCTGCAAAAAACGTTAAAAGAAATTGACATTTTATTTATATCTACATATCATTAATTCTGTACTGGGTAGGAACATACTTTATAATTTTATCAAAATTGTCTACACGGACCTAGGGCGTAGATAAATATTACTTATCCCTAAGCTACAGGACTATAAGTTACAGATTTAACCTAACCGTACGCCACAGGACCCTGAGATGTAAATAAGTTTTACTTACCCCTACCCTACAGGATTATAAGTTATAGATTTAACCTAACCGCTTACTTACCCCTATGCTACAGAACCATGAGATATTGATGAGTTTTACTTACCCCTATGATACAGGACCCTGTGATGTAGATGAGGATCCCGTCCTGTTCAGGGATTCTGGTTTACTAGATGTGGAGGTCGTACTTTTTATACCCTGACCTTAAACCAATCATGGCAGGATAAAATTCAATCAACTTCCTCATGGTTCATCATCCCCCCTGAGGAAATCATCTTTCTCATCCGTCATCTTCGCGATCATTCGACCTCTCAGTTACTTAAACTATTGACCTACGTGAGATACTATAGGACACGCTACGTGACAGACTGGAAGACAGAGTATGTGGTCTTGACATGGTTACGACTACATGATTTAGATTTGATATTTAATTATTTAGCGTTTAACATCCACGGAAAAAATGTATTCTATCGTATCCAAATATCGTACTGTTTGAAGATTCATTATTTTAATTTTTTTTTTTCATATTTATTAAAATTTATATTTTCTTAATCAAATGAAAGAGACGGTCTTCTCTCTTACACTAAGTACTTTAAACTTTCTAAATGATGAAAACTCCTGTGTATCTTCATGTTTAGAACTCCAAGATCTGGGATGTCTTTATTAAAAAAAATGATTCGTTGCTTCAGGAACACACACTTTAATGCAATACGTCATTTAATAATGAAACGAAAAAAAAAATGTGTTTTGCTTATCATCTTCAGCCATAAGGAATGGTGCTAAAGGCAAAATAAGCGGTCACGAATCGCATCATGGTGCATGTCAGTCACACATACATATGTTAAAAGATATATGTTTACTGTGTTTTCGTGTTTATCCTAAAGTAGCACGGTTCAGAAAATACACACGTACTTGACAATTTTTCTAAAATTATCTGATATCTGAATATCTGAATGAAAAGTACAAAATTTATTTAATTATCGGGCTAATGCACATCTCTGTCGAGATTTTGACTTTTCTTTTGATCACTTTGGATTTTCCTTAGTCGCCTCCTAGACTTTACAATTTATGCCCTTATCATCACTGACGAGTCCTAGAAGAACGAAACAACTGTATGATGCTGTTTAATTCATTGTTTGGCTCTACTGTATCTCACTCTAAAATATAAAAATGTGCTATTCACTTGTGTATCTTTTGTACAATCCCAATACCGTTTTAATGTAGTGTTGTTATCTATTCACTTTGTTAATAATGGTCCTCTGAAATCACCATGTTAATACGATCATGTAAAAAGATACATGTACAGATAAAGCAGTCAGTAAATACAACAGGGAAATAAAACATAATCAAAGTATAAATTTTGTATAATCTATTTCATTAAGTCCGTCTCCATTAGTTTATTAGGATATTTCCTCATTTTCGTCTATTTTTTTCAATGTTCAAACTGTTATTGTCACCACATACGATATTGCATATCTGATTATTGTAACGGTAAAACAAACGCTCAGGAATACAACACAAAACTTTTAAATCGAACTGAAAACATTTTACAATCAACGCTACAAGACAGAAAGATGCGTTTTGAATTTATCGTATCAATCGACTGATAACAATCAACTACCATGTAAATTATCATTATTATCAGAACAATGACATTTATCACGCTGTCATTATAAAAAGAACATATCTAATGCCAATTATCACATTGATTTTCATTAGCAAAATAATAGTAAATGTTTATTGTAATAATTACTGAACAATAATTATCAACACTACATTTTATGCCATTGAGCACGTTTTGTACTCTTATGATCAGCAAAATGAATTTAATGTCATTACACACAAGATTTCTCAATGTCAACACAACTTCTTAAATATCAATTTTCACGTGTTCTGTTAATATCAACAAAACATATTCATGTCAATTATTACGTGTTCTGTTACAAAACATATTTGATATCAGTTACCACGTGTTCTGTTAATATCATCAACATATCTAATGTCAATTATCATGTGCTCTGTTAATATCAACAAAACATATCCATGTCAATTATTACGTGTTCTGTTACAAAACATATTTGATATCAGTTACCACGTGTTCTGTTAATATCAACAACATATTTAATGTCAATTATCATGTGTTCTGTTAATATCAACAAAACATATTAAATTATTACGTCAAAACATATTTGATATCAGTTACTTTGTCAATTATCATGTGTTCTGTTAATATCAACAAAACATATTAAATGTCGTGCTTTGTCATTATAAGGTACCGAACGTATACTCTTATTACCATCTCATTATTTGATGTTAACACCTGATATTATCCTTGCTTTTTTTTCCCATAATGCCCCATATATTTTTTTTCTTTTGTTTTGGATTTGGATTATGATTATGTTAACATGTTCGAATTTTTTAATACAGTAACGGTTAACATGATTATAACATTGAATACTGTTCTACATGATAAAGATTTGTTGTAACTGGTTATAACTGTGTTGTGTTAATTGTGATAGTACCTATGATAATATTTAACTTTATTTTTGGCATTCGCACTCACGATGCGATAAACGATCTTGTCATGTTGGAATGATTGGTCAGAAAGATGATGGATTAAGGGAGGCCGGAATCAGTCCATATGGAAATAACAGGAAACTGGTCGACCTACATTTTCTCATCCTCGGGGCCAGGCATATAAAACCGCGGTTCTGACTTGGAGTAGAGCATCCTTTACAGACCCGCTTCCACCAAAGGATCACAGGTACAGTTCTTTTAACCAACCATTGAATTATTTTTCGTTCACATTATCTGTGTATCGAAGTAGTCTAGATATCAAAACTTACTGGTTATTGATATATATTAATGTTTCACCTCTTTGTTTATAGCATGTGAATGAAAGTTATTACAAAAGTGTTTTATTTCAGTCATATTAAATATTATAACCAGGTTTTAAGTCTTAAATAAGTCCAGAAAAATCTGCAAAATGTATTTAGAGGCAAAAGGAAATGGTTTTAATTTGCTATAATTTGCTGCTTTCATAATAACTATAAAAACATTTTTTACATCGATATATCAATTTAATTTTCATATATGTTTGTTTCCTAGAATAAGGGATACAGTTGATTGTGTTCACTTCCTTTTTATTTTTTTTTTTTATACCGCGGGATATTTAAAAAGTTATGATATAAATGTTAACATAAATGTTTTATGATAATCATTGAAATTAAAGAATAGAAAAATGACATAAACTTTATAATGTTATACTGGTGTAAATTCACTCATCGGCGGCAAAATACTAATCACTATGACAAATAGTATTTTGTTTGTTTTAATTGCAGTTTTCAAAATGAGGTTCGCTTGTGCGGTGCTTGCCTCGCTGGCTTGCCTCTCCGTGGCGGTGATGGGTAACGGATACGGAGGGTCATACTACCCCGTCCAGAATATGTACGTAAATTGATCTTTAAGAACATCTTGCAAACAAAAAAATATTGTTAATATATTTTTTGTCTTTAAATGTCTTTTTCTTGTCATCTTCTCAACTTACATATCTGACCGTTTCAATGATGACCGTCTTCCGAGTCCAAAGCCTGTTAGGTATACGCTAATTAAATACTGTTAAGGTCGACGGGTGTAGCAATATCATTATTCAAAACATACTAGGTGTCAAACCAGCATGTCTTCTAGTCTTTAGCTTAGATTAAATTCATAACCTGACCCTCTAATTAATCAATTTTCAAATTATGTACTGACACAGTTGCATTAGTACATCGCCGACGATTGGAAACGTCTTTAACTTTATCTCGTGTTTTGTTTTCTTTTTTCAAAATCAGCAAAGAAAACATGGACAGATTTTGAATTCAAATTCAACTTCGATAAAACTAATATGCCCCCTGAAATTAGTATTGATAAGTATATCATTTTATGTATCCTTGCTACTACAGGGGTTACAGTGGTCATTTTCGCTCTTTCTACCGCTGGAATATTGTCCTGGCAAAGTTGAAGGATCCGTGTGTGACACCTTGTTGACAAGACGAAAAAATTAGTTTTGTCCTTTGATGTACATCAAAGGAAACTCGAGGTCGCATAACAGTATATTGTAATAGCTTTGAAGTTGGATGTCGCGCCATTGTAATCTTCAAAAGAAACGTATTAGCCTATGTTTGACCACTATTTTGCTACTGAAACCAATTAAATAACTTTGCTTGTGCCTTCAATTTTGCCATGACATTTTCCAGGTGTGCAGAGCGCGAAAATAATTGTAACCCCTGGAGTATCGAGGATGCACTTTATATATAAGTGCTGTATCTGGTGCTGTTTTGCAAAAGTACAACGGTCTGATTATACATCAGTAGCAGTATGTTTTAAATATATCATTTTCCTTTGAACCCGGTTCATTGCAGCGCAGTATAATATACTATCGTCCATTCCCTATGTCAGGTCATAACAACTGGTTTAATATTGTTAGACAAAAGTATGTACGAATACTCTTGATCACCGACATTATTGTATGAGTAGGTACAGCGGTTACGGAAAAGGAGGTATGGTAGCACCTTACTATGGTGGATACGGAGGATACGGAAAAGGAGGGGGGTATGGCGGATATAGCGGATATGGACAAGGACAAGGAGGATATGGTTTTCCAACCATACTGTATCCTGTTGCATCCCCAGAACCAGGAGATCTTCCTTTGGCAGCACTCGGAGGACTGTATGGAGGAGGCGGAGCATTCGGCGGCAACGACAACAACATTTTTTTCCTTTTGGCAGGTAGGCACTACTTCCAATCCCGTATCAATCACACACATATACTTATGATTTCCCTCTCTTAAGTCGAACGAGTCGCTCTTAATTTCTAATCATTAAAACAAATGTTACAAACCTGGCTAAGACTGTGATATATTACAAGACTAGCTTTTCCTTGACCTCGCCTGTCAGCTGACCTATACGCCTGTCCGCTGACCTATACGCCTGTGTAGATAATATGATCATTACGTTTTCACATATTTTTTTTCTATTCTCCGTTTGTACTATAATATTTGATGATATCAATGTTTCAGGAGCCGTGTTGTTACTGGCTCTCTTATCCAACAACAATAACACTGGTTAGATAAAACAACAAACAGATTTGTATATAGGTAAGTTATTTATGTCTTATTACGTCAAATGCTTTTGTTAACTGTTGAATTACTATGAATGTATTCTAAAGATATTCAGAACCCGATCTTTATGACTGAATATGCTTATGATATTTTCAGAAGATCCATAACGTTGACTCCGTGATTAACTTCGTGTATAGTTATCATAATAGTGGTTACAGTAATTATGAACCATACAAAAAAGTCTCTCCTTGTTTAAAATGATTTTTTTTATTCATTTGTAGGTTTTCGCGCAAGAGGTCAACAACGTCACTTACAGTTAATACCAAAAACCCCTGTGTATTTTTGTCATTAAATAATTCTTCGTTGAAATGTTGATATTTAGTCTTTTGTTCTCATCGCTGTATGTAAGTATATGCACAGATATTTCAACATAAGGCATAAATGAATCAAGATAATACGGTTGTGTTATCAAAATCAATATTCTTAAAAAAAAAACGCGTTGACAAATATGCACAAAATGAAAGAACGATACTTAAATTTACCATGCGAACAAGCAAATGAAGAACAATGCGTGATTCAGTAGGACAAAGATATCCTACTACATATATTCCGTCAGGGTATCATTGATCAATTAAGATTGTACAAAAAACATACAGGATACAAATAGGATACAGTAGACAACAGAGCCAAACAATGAAGTAAACTGCATCATACAGAAGGTTTGACCTTTAAGGATTCATCAGTTGTCCTAAAGGCCTAAATGTTGAAACCTAGGAGGCGACTGAGTAAATTCCAGAAGGTTCGAACGAAACATCAAAATCACGTCCTCCCACGGGGATCAGTATTAAAAACCATGAAACCGCTTTGCATAGAATAAAGCTAACGAGCACATCAAAACCACATACTTAAAACACAAAAGTTGTATAGCTAGCCTTGCCTAGACCCTGATGTTTACATTCCTGTTGACATGATATATTAAATTTCATTTTTTTCGTATTTAATGTATATATGAAATATTTTTATCAAATTTATTAATAATAATATGATATGAAAAAGGAATCTTCATTTTTCTTTATGCACCTTCTTTTTCTGTCCTTTCTCTGTCTTTTCTTACTTCTGTCTTTTTCTTTCTCTATCTAAAGCAGAACAAAGCACTATGTTTTTCAACTCTTGAAATCATGAATCTGCCTTGCTGTAGTAACATGTATAAAAGTATGTATATATGCTAAGAGATATGATTTCTCATATATTTAAGAATAGAATATTAAAAATGTGATTTTATATTGTTTCAAAAGTTTCAAAAATAAAAAAGAGGAAAAATTGTCTGCATTTATCAAGAAAACGGTTTAGAATTAGCAAAATAAAACTGTGAGTATTGCATTTCACAAAAAAAGATTTAATCTATATTTATAACTTATACTTTTAAGGTGTGGTATTGCAAAAATACTGTTTGTCAATATTTGGACTTTTTTTCTATCAGCCGAATATCAAAAAAGGAAAATAAAGACGAAGTTTACTATTCCAAACTACACTTATTAACAATATCAAGCCATAATAAAGGATTAGCAAGGTCTTTTCAAGCTGTTTTGTTATGTTCTTTGATCATTTCAGCCTGGTATGGAAAGAAAGGTCAGCCAAAAGAGGGGTATACTTCCCATTGATATGCTAATGGACTGTTGGATGATCTTACCTCCAAACTTTAATAATTGTCAACTAACACTTGGAGTATTCATATGTTTCCATCCTCAGTATACTTCATGATGGCTTTAAATGTACACGGAACACACATGTACGTTCTAATGTAATTCACACCCATATATCTATACCAAAAATCACTCATCATTTACAACCGAGGATAAAGGTGTTCGTTGATTGTGGAATGTGGGTATTGATAGATAAGGATAACCGACTGTTGATATTTAGAGAAACAATTTTTGGAAAATTAAAGACACGTCTGACTTTTGTACGTCAGCCCCTTACCCTAACCCTATAATCAACATGGACAACTTCCAACTAGGCTCCAACCGTCATGATTTCGATTTTCTTATCAATATTTTTCTTTTCTAGATACCTAGAAAATATCAAGTCATCAAGGGCTTGTGCCCAATATATTGATGTCCGTTAAGGATGCACACAACTGATACATAAACTCACTCAGGATTCCGAAAGATGAAGGTTTTAGAAGATAATGGAAAGTTTATGATCGCCTTCGTGATCTCTCAGAGGTATACTTTGTATTTGCAAGGACCGACAAATGTTTGTATGGCTGATATCGTAAATTCTGCCGTGGTTGGTTATCTAACTGGATTTGTAAAACATTTAGTTCCTACCAACGGCATCAAATGTGTTTTATTAAGTCCATCAAACATCCAAGCACTTTACGTAATGTTGATATGCTGTATTGAGAAAATACAAATTCCTGTTATTTGATTGCCTTGAGATTACCTATTTTAGGAAAGGGTTCGGTCTTGATCATTTTTTTAAATAAAAACTTTGTGTATACATTATATCATGAGTCTCCCAACAGATTTATTCCATAAACTAACTCCATCAAATCCATGGCATAGTAGTGTTGTTGATTGTCATCGCGCAAGAGTAAAATGTCAAAGGTTACTCTTGACCGCTGTAAACAAATCTACAAAGAACTACTCAAAATAATTTTTTCGCAGTAGACGGAAATAATTAATTAGAGGCGATCACCGTTCACCTAATAGAATAAAGGCAAATTTTTAACCTCTTCACATAAATGGGCATTTTCATCAGATGTTTCTTTGTGTTACCTTGACCGTATTAGGCAAACGAGGGTCCAGCATGATCAGAAAAATTCTTTCCGAAAAATAGTGCAATCCCGAACTTCATTTAGAATAGTGACAATGTATATCAAAAACCAGGCTACATGTACAAAAAGCACAACAAAACAAACAAAAAAAAAGCGATACTTTGAGATACGACGACTAAAAATAGCTGTCTAATTTTTTCGGAACTCACCGAAATAAAGTAGTCAACTTGGGATGTATATAAACTTACATTTGTACGTTTATTCAATTCTATCGTAAGTGATGCTAAGGACCAAAGTAGGACTTATAATGTTGGAACTTAGGATGAGAGAAATCCACATTGGTCGAAACAAATGTCAAAAACCAGAGGGGGAGGTGAAAAAAAGAGTTTGTATACCATAATAAACATATTCAGGTCGTTTTTAGGCTAAACGCACTCAGTACCAATAGCCTATTGCGACGGCCTTTCAGACAAAATTTACCGATCCTGGCCTTCTCATTGGCTGAAATATCGAAAAGAGCCCTCTAGCGGCAATTTTCTGCGTAAATAATGCCGCGATCTTTCAAATCGCTATTTTAAAAGCATCCAAATTTAGTTTATTTTTTAATAACAATACGATTACTATATATTTCAAAAAAGAAGCACAGTGTGGTTGAACTATTGATTAATTTTGAACAATATATTTTACGGAATTCTCGACATGACGTAAGCGTACAGAACACTGTACGTGCGAGTTGATAAGAAGCTAGTCATGGGGCTTGGTTTGAAATATCAACTAACAGCACTTATAAACAAACAAAACTTACAAACAGAACATCAATTTTGTTTTAATCCTTGTCGTTGTGGCAAGATCGTCTTAATATATAACATCACTTTACCTCATTAGACGTCACCGAATTGGACTGTTCGTCCCACGAGCACACCTGCCGATATGACACTTTTTTCAGGTTTTTCACAACCACCGCCATGACGCTTTTTCAAGTTATTGAAGATAAAAAGTTTGCGCTTCGTAGGCAAGGTGCATTTGGTGCTCATGATTTATGAATAATATATTTTTAATACTGTACTGATCATGATGTTGACTTTGTTATAACTTATATTTTTTGTCTTTTAGTTTTATTTGATGAAGGTTGATTGTGCTGATTTCTCAAGGTTTGTTAATGTGTATCAAAGTTCCTTGAAAAGAAAATATTCCTTTAAACTAAACGCGCATAAAAAAAGCCCAAAATATTCATGTTTATAATTATCAATTAACTAGAACGAGCTATTTCCATAAGATATTTATTCATTTAGCGTGTCATGGTGACATTATCTAATGCATTGGAGATCAGAAATAGTAGTAGCTATAGTGAAAATATTTTTTATATATTTGGAAAACTGATTTAATCTCAAAGAACTATGTCTTTATAGACATAATTACTTTATGAAAAGTCTAACCATGACACACCAAGGAAGATAGGCATGTAAATACATTTAATGTAATTACTTACACTTTAATCTATCTGAAATGCTGTGTACACCTTATCTACTTTCCTCAACTACAAATATAATTATAATAAGTAAGGACTATTACTTTGCAACACATTCAAAATAAAGAAGTAGGTATAAAGTCCTTTCGATTTGTCTAAATCCTCATATTGATAGGATAGTAATTGCAAATTCAAAGGTTTCATTTAGTCAAATTCATCCTAGAGCTATTTATCATTTGGCTTGTTGGCGATAAATATATGGTTGTGTGTATTTTGTTATTATTATTGGGTATTTCAAAGGTTTCATTTAGTCAAATTCATCCTAGAGTTATTTATCATTTGGCTTGTTGGCGATAAATATATGGTTGTGTGTATTTTGTTATTATTATTGGGTATTTCAAAGGTTTCATTTAGTCAAATTCATCCTAGAGCTATTTATCATTTGGCTTGTTGGCGATAAATATATGGTTGTGTGTATTTTGTTATTATTATGTTTTTTTTCCTATTTTGATTTATTCACATTATTGTCGTCAAATTTGAAATAAGAATTAAAGAAGATATAAAATCGCTTAAAGTTAAGAAAAATAGTTTCTGGTTCTCTTATTTTAGTAATTTTTGCATTCCAAAGTGTAGGAGTATGGGGAAAGTAATATAGCTTTGCGGTTATTTGTGAACATTTTTCAATACGTTTAGCCTTTCAGTACTTTCAGTACTTTGATTACACCTTAGTATCAAAACATTATGTACAGTGTATGTTTACCTATAGTGTTGTGGTGATCAATGGTAAAGGTAACACCACTGTCGCAATAACCTATTAATAATTCAGTCAAGATATAGTCTATATTTTCTGAATTTGTTGTTTGTTTATTTGATTTTGTGGAATAGATATATTATATCTCCGCTGAGAGAGAGAGAGAGAGAGAGAGAGAGAGAGAGAGAGAGAGAGAGAGAGAGAGAGAGATTCACGAATAAAGAATCTCCACGAAATCAACGAGATCAACGACCTCCTAACTTAAGATAGTTAACTCACTGCATACACACCTCTCATAATGGAAAAGCGTCAGTCATTAATCACTCTCTACCACAGTCCACAACACACCTAATCTATTTTCATGGGTAATCATGATTGCATGGTCATGGAAGTGGACTGTTACAAACCTGAAAGAAAAGGGGAGATAATCATTAAGTCAAATCAATAATACAAATAAAATCATAAATTTTAGTTTTCCTTGTACATACACGAACACGTGCATTAACATCAATGTCATCATACTTTATTGATGTTCACATACATGTATTTCACACAGTTGGCTGCTTAATTTTGAAATTTTCTTGTCACAGAAAGTAAAACATACTTATCCTTTTTCTCTGAGAAAGAACATTGCCAATTATAACCAGAAGATATTTCCTTGTTCACCAAATGACAGGTACATACAGGAAATACTAGACTGACTTGAGAAATGAAAATGTCTGTTGTAGGAAAATAGTTGTAGTATCCTACATCCTCAACTATTTCACGAAGAATGTACAATATACTGTAGTTTTTTTTAACTTTTCTCTAATTAAAACCAATATGATTATATGGAAGTATAGATGTCAAACAAATATTCTGCTGCATTGAATAGGACATGAATGGATTATCATATGTTCTTTGAATGCTGATGTAATTAACTTATTTGTGACGTTTATGGCCAGTGTCGTCGATGATACGGAAGACACTAACCCTTCCGAAACTCATTGTCGTTAAACTCTTGCAAGGGTGTCCATGTTAATCGTTCTTATGGTCATGTTTCTTCACGCTTCATTGATTTTTAGTTCAAATTAAGATTATGTTAATATGCCTTTTTAAATCGGTTATGGATAATACCGAATCTCTTAAAAACAAAAAGAACTTCAGATGTAACATGACAATCCTTTCTCTCCATTGCTTTCATATCATTAGAATGTATCCATGTTTTACGATGCCATTTTGCAATATTTAAAAGTAAAACGAACCTTCACAATTCATAATATCCTGATACAACACTATGGAACTAAAGGACTGCCTTTAATGAGTTTTGATATCAGATTTATAAGGATAAATGTCCAGGACCTATTTATTTACTACAGTAAAGAGACGAACAAACGACAAATTATAATAGTATTGCACCTAGTATAGGCCGATATTTATAAATCGTAAAGAGTTTATCGATCGAAGGGAGGTAACTCGTGAGTCAATGGAATTGGTTCTCGATAGAATAGTTGTCAATTGTAACTATGTCCATGATTGAGAATAATGTTACGAAAAGGTACCTTGTTTTTCACTTAAATTCTAGTTATCTTTCGTCTTTTCTTCAACAGCATAGGAATTTGTAGAGACCCGCCTTTGCTTAAATCCTCAAGCTCAAACAAGTTAAATAATATAATAGATTCAGCTATCCTTATTTGTAGTAAACTGTCTTTGTTTTACTTCGCCTACTCAGATAAGTTAAATACAATAACATGTCCAGCTATCCTTATTTCTAATTAACTGTCTTTTTTACTTCAACTACTCCAATAATACATTTAGGAACTTCCATGAAATATCCATGAAAATAACAATATGATATAACTAATATTGCGATACTTATCAACATTCAGACAAACACTTATAAAACTAGCCTTCAACTTTGTTTCAGTTATTCAATGTATTTGCCCAGGTGACATGCTGTTCGGGGACCTGTAGTTAACATCAATAAATATAGAAACAGCATTGATAGGACATATTATGTTATTCATTGATATGAACATAGAGGCTTAATGCCTGCGTTCATTATGTATCATATTAAAAATGATGTTAGGATATTCTAGACGGTTTTACATAAGTTATAAAACCTACATTTTATAGAGTTGTTTCCCTTTAACCAATACTCTTGGCGATTTCGCGTAAGCAATTGCTACGGTTGGACCGGTTGAACCCTTAAGAAAAACCGCCAGGTACAATTCTGGACCGAGTCTGGACTGCGAAATATTCGGCACGAGTAGTTTGAGGAGTCCAGCCGTACCTGTCCGAAGCAAAGATAGTTTTTCTAAGAATTTCAACATAAACAGTACGGTCGGTGCGCTCACATATTTCCGGGACCATTGTGTTACAAAGCATAAATGAAATGGATATTGTCTTGACGCTAGTTAAATGTTTTTCGCTTGACAGGAAATTACGAAACTGTGCATTTTCAGCTTTACATATATCAGGTCCAACATCCGGTACAACTACGTTTATGCATAGTGGAATAATTCCAAACCACCTGAACCGTTTCAACCGTGTTACGTGAATGCAGCTTATATTAAAACCAACTTCGGCACAACCATGACATCGATCACTAGCCGCGCGTCTTATTTCGCTGGTAACATTGATATGTTGATATGGTAATATATCTAGTTCTGATCGGAACACGAATAATTGTTGATATCTATAACAAAATACTAGCTAAATATTGATTATTTGAATATTTCTACTTGTAATTTTAAAGAAACGTCAATTCTATTAACTTTTTTTAAATTGACACATTCATATCAAGTTATTTATCTAAACCGATTTTAGGTATTTTTTTTTTTTACTGACTTAAGATATCTTTTTTTCACGTGACAAATGAATTTAAACTTGAACTTAAGGCAGGTGTCTCTGCAATCAATCATCGGACACTTCTACGTCGTGTAAGATTCCCATTAATCAGCACAGGTGTTACTTCCTGTTGGCCTGACCTGACAGAAACAAGGTCAGCGCGAAGGTGTTCACTATACTCCGAGCTTATATGTCACCTAGCCCTTGTCAGGGCCAACTGAATATCTGCTTTGATTTTCGTAACGATACAATGCAATTAATCAATTTTTACCCTTAACGTTACGGTTTATCAATGCAGTGTATATATTTATATTTAACATATGCAAAACAATAGTTAACCACACACACACAGATCACACATATTCGATCAAAGTGTAGAGAATAATTCACAACACAAGGATTTATCTTTTTTATTTGTTTTTCCCAGGTACCATTTTCTCAATTCTATTCCATCATCGCAATATAACAAATATTGGAACTGGTATATTTTACAAGGGTTTTACCACCCATGGTGTTTACATGTCGCAGTTGATTCGTTGACCAGACTTGTTCTTGTGGGAAACTGGTAGATAAACGCGCAACAAGTTTTTTCGGGTGATGCGAGATATTGAAAATGATGGGGGATCATCTTCCTAATGATCTCTTTTGGATTTTTTTTATGCAATGTGAAGTTGTTTGTGTTTGATGTTAGTTAGTACACCTGTTTGTTCCGTTGTTGTTTATCGTATTTTCATTTGAAAATGTGATATTACTTACTAGAAATAATCTTGACTAACATAGAGGATGTCGTCGATGAAGCAGAAGACGCTTGCTCTTTTGGAATACCTTATATTTTTCAAGAGTGTCCGTGTAAATATTTATTTTTGTTGGTTATTCATCCTTGTTTTACCCAATTTGAGTTTGGATTATGCTTCTGGTGACAAGTTGGTATTTTCTCTGCTGTTTTGTGACACTTTGGTGTATTTTGCTGTAGCGTTTTTCGCATATTAGGATTTGTCGTCATCGCCATTTACGCGTTGGAATAATTTGTTCAAAACAATTTGATGCGTAGGTAAACCTTTCACCAAATTGAAAGACAATGTTACAACTCGGTCAATTACTTGATCTTTGTTAAAATATCATATCAAAGCTACAAATTAAGTATGTGCTATAACATATGTCTGATAGCTCATTAAGTCGTTCCATTTAACTATTGATGCTAGGGACCTAAATGCTACGTCAAAATGACGTTAGTGTACTCTTAAACTTGACACTATTTATATGAATTTGAAACATGACATACATGTAGACTGAAATCTTAAAAGAATTTGAAAAAAAACGCCGCTTATACGATAAGCACACTTAATCAAAACTGAACACGAGATACAAGTATATCAAGCATGAACTATGCGGCCACAAGGCAACATTTCATTCAGCCGATGAAGAATGATACTGTGTCGATTAATATGGCGCTTAGACGGTAATACCAAACTTGTCTATACCATGTCATGAACATACTTGTAGGTACGATTGCCCCCGGGAGTGGTCATCAGTCTATTTTGGATCAAGGTACAAAGTTTTCATGACCATTAACTTTATTTAAAGTGAACCCACAAATAAATGATTGGACTTGATAAGAAAAAATGAAATAGTAACCAATATACAGCGTGTAAAAACGTGAAAACAAATAATTGTGAATATACTGACATCGTTATGATACGAAGAATCAAACATTCCCTATTGAAAGAAACATGTGTGTGATAACTGATCACATTTAACTAACATTCGACTAACATTCAGGAAAATGACATACGGTTAATTCAGCATAAGGCCTTGTCTGATAGTACTTTGATTTTCAATATTAACTTGCAGACTTATTAATCAGAACGTTGACTTAGGAAGTGAAAAGTGATTCCCTTAGAGGTATTCAAGGAGATTCTAACCAGCTGTAATAAGCATCAGTACCCCGAGGAGATGGCTGTCAATCAATAGCGAATCAAAGTGCCCATTCACCTTACTCGGATCAAAATCATGAAGTGTTAATAGATGCAAAATCACAAAATCTGCTGAGCGTGAGGCGTGCCAACACCTACCAGGCAAAATGTAAGTATACAAGTATTGTTTGGTAATGCAGTAGGTCTTCAATAGCACAATGTACCAATGTTATGGAGTATATGGGAAATACAAATATTTGTTCACAACAGGTCTTGATATTTTACAGTTAACATTTTGTATTCATCAACTACATTGCCGCTTTTTCTATTCGAATAACTATCAATAACTTGTTAACAGTTAAGTAAGCATGGTTTTTTACAAGATAAATTCAAAACGCTACATATGTTTATCATGGTGATGGTCTATCATACTATAGTGCAATTATTATACCCAAATGTTCGAAAATTATATCTATATTTCAGTAAGGATGCAGAGATATTATAGACATTTCAAAATACGTTTAAAGTTAAAAGTGTAGAATATAGGTTTTGTTCTGGTGTTTTAGTGAATTCGTGACAGGAATTGTCTTTTTAGTTTAGATAATTGTGCTATATGGTGATTGAAATATGTACAACATTTTGTAACAATACAGGTAGGATAAAGTGTTTCTGTTACATTCAACTTTCTCTCATGTCTTAGGTTTAGGATAGTAATTTTATCCAGCATCCTGGTTGTGGTTTGTGGCTCCTTTGGATACGGTGGTAGCAGTGGCTACGGTGGCAACAGTGGCAAAGGCGGTTACTACAGTGGATACGGTGGCAAGGGCAGCTACAGCGGATATGGTGGTAATGTTGGCTACAAGGGATACGGCGGTAAAGGTGGCAACGGAAAAGGTACTCAGATCACTTACAATTCACAGACAATATTACCATCGTCTGGTGCTTCTCTTCCTGACTTCACACTTCAGGGACGGGATACGGACTCCCCTTATGGCTCCGGAATAGGGCTTCTTGCAGCTATAGGAGGTAAGAATGAAAATAATACGAATTGCCTTTAAATATCATTAACTGAAAGCTAGCTTTAGGTTTCAATATCTGATAATTATTTTAGAATACTGGCTGAACATCAATGTTAGGTTGGTCTCGGAACTTCTCGTCCCTGTTAATGATAATATTTGGAGTCATTTTGCTACTTGTGTAAAAGTGTGACCTACGGTGATAAAGAAAAAAGAGAAACATTTGAATAATTAAATATACTGTCGAAAATCCTTGTGACTTCTCTTCTTGTTGCTTCAGTTATTAAACAGTTTTCATTGATTTCAGCGTTCGCATTTCTCTTTGCTTTAACGAGGAATTAAAGTCAAAGCTGAACGACTGGTGTTATCAAAGGTATCGTAACATCTAACACGCATGGAACATGTAACATTCATTTCCTTTTCAATCGTCTGTGGTCATGATATAAGGATAACTTGATAAGCACAATTCATTTTTAAGATTTATCACAAAATCTGTTATTGTAGTTAAACATGTATCTCACTTTTTATAATACTTATTTGAAAACAATTGCTGGTATTAAGTCATAAAAGAAATCATACGCAATTCAAATTATGCTTCTATTTTTTATCTATTTATTATCTATCTATTTATTTATTATCATTCTAATTGTTTATTGTCTATTTATTTAATATTTATCAATTTATCAATTTATTTATTATATATCTATTGATTCATTATCTATTCTTTTAATATCTATCTATTTATTTATCATTTATCAATATATATATTATATGTTAATTTGTTATCTTTCTGTTTATCTATTATATATCAATTTATTTATTATTCATTTATTATTTATCTATTCATTATTTATTTAATATCTATGTATTTATTTATTATCTATCTAATCATTTATTTTCTATCTATTTAATGTCAACCAGTTTATTTATTTTCTATTTATTCATCATCTATCTCTTTATCCTATCATTTTTTATTATCTATATAATTTACTTGTTATCTATTTATTCATGTATTTATCTACTTATCTATTTCAGATTTACAGTGACAATGAATATTTTTACGTGACGATATGCTTGTTCTACCGATTTTCCTTGTACGTTATCAAGAATAAAGGTTAAAAAATGAGTTCAAATCAAACGAGTTTTTCGTTATTCATATACAGCAAGAAAATACCAACATGTCAACATAATAATATAAATTCAAATTTGATAAAATTAGGGGGAAATATGATCAAAAGAAAGATTTAAAAGGAGACTTCTGAAAAAGTACCCGGAGAATAAGAATAACAGTCTTCTGCTTCATCGACGACACCCGCCATGTAAACCTTGGTGAGTCCAAGTAAGTAATGTCAAATGAGAGCAAGGTACATGTATACCAGAACGGAACCAACAAGCAAGCTAACGAGTATCAAACATGCACGACTTCATATCGCATAAAGGAAAAGAACATTTTACAATGAGATCACTATGGCGACCATAAAACTTCGCATAATTTGTATCAACCTGCATCTTTCAAAAGCGTGTATTTAGAGTGTTTCCACTTCTTGTATTAAAATCGTGATATTGGGAACAGGCCTTTGAACATAGAATCTACCAGGACACACAGGGTTGGGATGCAGGATGTTGCTATCCAGAAATGGAAAATTCATATCAGATGTATTTAAATCATCACGTTTATCATACAGCCTGGTGAAAAGATGTCCTTGATGGTTGCGTTGTAGGAAATGATCGAGATAATTGGCGGATGTAGAAGAGGTTGTCGTGTAAATGAAGCAAATAACTCAATCTATCAGTGAACGTCACACATAGTTCCATAGTTTTACCATCAGCCTGAATTCTGTTATATATTTACATTAAAACAGGACTGGTTTGTATTTGCGACTTTGAATTAAGCGAACAGAAAGGCTGTTACAAATAATACAATAAAATCATAAACCAAAACCACTCACTACTTCCTACATGTATGTATTTAACATCAAGTATTACACGAGAAATTTATACTATTAGGCCATCAACTGTATGCACTGCATTATTATTTTCCAGAGGGATACTTTGAGGTTGACTTATTTAGAATAAGGATATCCCCGAAACCATTACCCAGGTTATCAATCATCAGATCCACTAATGAAAACCTATCGGTATATACCCGGCATTCATCTCACAGTTAGCGTAATGTCGTTATCTATATTTCTTATATTTTTTATCGATTTATTGATTTAACATATATATTAAGCAAATACCGAGACAAATAATGTGCATGAATGATGCCGAGACATTAAAATTCATCATGGTACGTGTGTGTATTATGAAGTAATTAAAATTATAGTTAATGCATCATATTTGATGTGTTTTATATAATGTAGATGTATACCACACGACTAAAAGCCACAACCTACACGATAAGTAACCGTATCATATCAATATACGTTCGTTTACTAATAACTAAGAATATTTGTAGGTACTAGTTTTGGAATGTTTCACATCCCGCTACTGTGTACCGTAAGATAAAGAAAAGATTTCGAATGAAATATTTTTGTTATAACATTATAATTTTTTTCTGTTAAGGTATAGCAAAAACAGTTCCTATAACAAATGCATTGATTCAGCTAGGACAAATCTCACAATTTTGTACCTTTCGCACGTTTATAATACGTAATAATAAATTTTACCAGCAAAATCAACAATCATAGGAATTGATTATAATTGAGCTTTATTTTTGTCATAGCTCAGTCAATAATGACAATTAAACAAAATGCATTTAAATATCATCTTTTATACGACAGCAATGGTTAAAGATTAGGCATCACGTGTTTTCCTTTAGGAAGGCATATCCTGACAACCTACTACGTTATTTGTATTGCTGTCTAGCATATTCTACAGTCTACCATACAACTTTTAATTTAAACTTTAGCTGTCATTGGAGAAAAATCTACATAAGAAACACGGAGCTGTCGAATGTTATAACGAGATAGTCTATGTTTATCTAACTGGTCGATGCTATTTATTTCTGTCCGATGATTGTCCGATGGTTGTTGATCTGAGAAAATGAAATCACTGAAAAACAACACTTTTAATCATTGGTCCAGATCTACAATAATGCAATAAATAAATTTCATACAATATATGTTCTCTTGTTTAATTGTACGGTTTGACCACACAAGATGTACACTCTTTTGATTATTTATTTTGTGATATTACAGATACACTTAGCAATCACTTTTGGGGACAAACCTGTCTGTTACCTTTGTGATAGTAACAACAGAGAAGATAGTTTTATAACAAGTACTTAAATCAGCGCTTCGAGTTGTATTTACAATCATAGTAACAAGGAACTTTCCAGGACTCCACAAAATTATTTGGATATCTATATATATATATATATATATATATTTATATATATATTACCTGTAGTGTTAATATTGATTGTATACATGATAACCGAGTGCCTTTCCCTGTGCTAAATCTGATTAATGATACAAGTATCACAGTGAAATGTGTTTTCAGGTTAGCATATGTGCTGCAGTTATATTGTATCAAAGATCTTTCTGTGGGCATCATTTTAATATTTTTATAGTCAAATGGAATGGTATTGTACATCATCATGGGTTTCTTTTATAGGTCCATTCTCTATCCAATGACAGAACATTTTTGTGTCGTGAAAATATTGGGGATAAAACAGAGAATCGAATCCCGGACGTATAGGTGAAGGTGAGTGCAATCCTACCATCCAATGTTTATCAAATGTGTCATCGCGTGTTGTATTTATCTTTAAATCTTTGCAGCTAAAACTATGTTTGAAAATTTTACTTTTTTAATTTTAATTATTACTCTCTATTCATACGTCTAAGTAGCATCTTGCGAAAACTGTAGTGATGCGAAAAGCTTTATGCCACGTACCTAACACTGACCATTCTCTGACCTCTAACTTCCGACGTCCGCGTTGTTTGTAATACTCACTGGATTTCCTCATAGCTTGGTGGAATGCTGATAATACACCACTACAGGCTGTAAACTGGTTGGACTTATTGGCCGCAGCTTTCAGAAGCATCCAGTTTGGAAGGTATGGCTCAAACTCATCAATTACATATGCTAATGATATTCTAAGTATGAATAGGTAATTTATTATGGATTTGTATGATTCACAGGTGATCAAGCAAGATAATAACTTTCTTATGCTCACCGCGAATATGTATTTGTTTCCTGTTATATTTCTATTTTATGAAGAATTCGTGAATACAAAAACATATAATCTAAACTCTTTAATTTCTTTAACTTTCGTTTCAATCACCTCGATACTGGACATTAAACACAGCAACAGTGACTGCTAAAGTCGTAGTCTTTATAAAGTGTATTCCTTCAAAATTATTTCATTATTGTGCCTTACAACATCATTTGGTAACACATTGGTTTAATGAGTGAAATAGTTTTCTACCATAGAAGAAGTTCTATTTTTCAATTTTGAAAATCAAAATAATATGAAATATGATAAATATGAAAGGGACGTATGGTAATGATTTTTCGTAATCGATATTTTATATCATTTATTACTTTAATCAATACGATAAAACTAGCCAATATTGCTGTCTGGGTTTATCTGTGAATGGCTTCCACAACGACTCTCGTTGGTAATGTTTACAACAGACTGCATATTCGTCTATATCCTTGGATGATGTGGAAGATAACATGGTCGATTATATAACTTTGATGATTGGATTTGACGCATACTTATCAATACTTGTTCAGCATTTTAATTTAACCTCAATTTAATTCTATATATAACATAACTAATAGAAGATCTTAATTAAGTACATTAATGCACGATCCGATTTCGATGTGAATGACTGGATGAAGTAACTTTTCATATTTGTCAATTCATTTTATTTATTTATTTATTTATTTATTTTTTGAGGCTTAAAATGAGGTTTGCCACTGTCATAGTCCTGTTTTTGGTTCTGGTGTTTTGTATTGCGACTGGATATTGCGATGGGTATACTAACCAATATAGTGGATATGGAAACAATATGTATAACAAAGGCTATAATGGCGGCAGTGCCTACAGCGCGGATATGGACAGAACTACGACTACCAGTATATCAATATGCCTCCGGTACCACCGCCATCTACGACCTACAGGGACCGTGCGATCGTCCGTGAGTACACATGACAATGGTCCTACATAACCTCATCATGGTTTCGAAAGTCATGCATGGCCTACTTATGATAACAGAAATCATATAAAGCGTACTTATGGCATCAGTAGTCATACATGACCTACTCACTGTGTCAATAGATGACCTACTTACATGTATGATACCAGCAGTTATATACCACGTGACTATGAC